AACCCACTGGAGGGTCAGCTATGGGTCAGTTCTGACTCGATGGCACACAACAATAACAACATAGCAGAGGTAAGGAGTTTTTGGGGTGTAGTGCATAATATATCAGTCAGCAGTTTGAATCTATCAGCCTGTTTAGGAGAAAGACTGACAGTCTCCACCCTTGATAGGTACCCCATGGAGGTATGAGTTGGAATCGACCCCACAGCAGTGAATTTATAGCCGAGCTGGCAAAGAGTCCTCACCTGAAAACACAAATCAGTTGTTGGGGTCCTCAGAGAGCACTGAACTGGGAAGTGATTGGAAACCACATCTAACTTCAGTAGGAAGACCACTGGGATCAACTTAGTAATGTCTGTCAAGGAGTCGTGGTGTCACAGTTGGTTAAGTGTTGGGTTGTTAAATGAAAGGTCAACAGTGTGAGCCGTCAGCTGGGCAGAGGGAGAAAGATGTGAGGCAGTCTCTTCCCATTGCCCTGAGTCAGAATTGACTCGTCAGTGAAATTGGTTTGGCCAGGGCTGAGGAATTAAAAATAGGCAGTGGGTACATACTCCCTCAGCCAGCCCTGCCGGTGTACCAGGCACTGTGTAAAGTCTTTCCCTCTTTACATCAACACTGACAACAGTTTCGCTTGTTTGTTTAATTTTCACTTTACAAGTTAGAAACTTGAGGTTTGAAGGTAATGAAACAAATTTGCAGAGATCATGCAGCACATAAATAGTAGGACAGGATTTATATATGAATTGGGTGGTGGTTTTGTTTTTAAATTATTTCCTGCCTGGATTTTCAACGTCAAGTGTCAATCAAGGCGAGTTCCAGCTCCAGTGCTTCCCAGCTGTGTGTCCTCAGATACACCACTTAACTGTTTCTGGACCTCTGCTCCACTTTGCCACAGACTCCAAGTTACTGGCACAGTGGGTTGGGAAAGGATCTAAAGCTAAACTTGGATATAGCTAAAATTGTTCTGAGATCAGCTAGTAATGTCTGCTGTGGCACTGTCATGGGAAATGGAAGCAGGTTGGTCATGTTCAACATCCCTGCCTCAGAACACTGATTTTAATAATTGTTTTTTGATTTTGGACACCGCAAGCGACTCGACGGCACATAACAACAACAACACCACCAGGCACGGGGCACTGTGTGAAACATTTCATTTATTCCTCCCAGCAATCTCAGAAGGCATAGAATGCATTCTTTAGTTGAGGAAATGGAGCACAGAGATTTAGGAGGTATGAATGTCTCCCCACCCCCATTCAATTCTGGGTCTGTTTGTTTGCAGAACTGAGTTTAATCACAATGGAAGACACACTATATATCCTGAGGAGTGATCTCAGCTCTTCCTTGGCCTTCGCTTTCTCTCTGCCTTAATAGAAGGGATGGTATCCAGGGTCAGATTGTAAAGACGGCACAGGATCAGGTAACATTCTGCTCCTCTGTGTCACGTCGGTATGAGCCAGAGCTGACCTTATTATGGCAATTAACTACAGCAACAACAGAGGGTCAGCTTCCTGCAGTTGCAGTTGGATGAGTGCGTCTACCTGAAGTCACATCCAGGCTGAGCAGAAATGCAAGCTGGATGGATTAGCAATGTTTGCCATGGGTGCTGCTGCTGCAGCTTCTGTGCACAGGTCCCACAGAACTACAGCCCAGTTTCATAACTTCAGTGTTTTCCTAATGACCAAGGCCATGAAAGGTGCCAGGCAAAATTCTCCATGTAACATTTTTCCATTCAATTCCTCTAAGGTTGATTGTTATGAAACTCTTCTCCAAGTAAGACGAGGATACCGAGTCCAAACTGTAGGTTGAGAATTCAAAGACAGGATTTTGATTTCAAGCTCGTGTTCCTAACAAAATGATCAATAATAATAAAAGTCATAAGAGCTAAGAGAACCAAGGTACTTACTCTGTACCCTGCCCTGAATCAATGTCACTGAGTCATTCGACTTGCCCCTATGTACTAGCCACAGGTTCCACCCTCCTGTCTCCTCTCTGGGTCTCTGTCTCTCCATTAAAGGTGTGGCATAGAAGGCCCTCATGGACAGAGACGAATTTTTAATTTCCACCCAGGCTCAGGAAGATGGAATTCGGTGACTGGTTTGTATGATCTGCTGTGAAAAGTCTAATAAGCAAACATCAGGGTGCAAGCCATCAGCTCAGGATATCACAGTCAGTCACTGTTCACAAAAGTCATAAAAACACCAGAAATCTTTCATGAGATGAACTGACACACAGCCTCGACAATGGACCCCAACATACCGATGACCTTGAGGATGGCATGGGACAAGACAACATTTTATCCGGTTGTACATGAGGTCACCATGGGTTATAGAGCTCACTTGGAAACACTTAACAACAACCATTACGTGCTGAATGTGGAGACAAGTATTTCAAAGGCAAAATTTTCACTTTTTCACAACCACACTGAGAGATGGGAAGAGGGGAGGGTCTTCTGCACTTCTCACATGGAGAAATGGAGGGTCAGAGAGATGTGCGGCTTGCCAAGGGTAATAGGAGAATGTGGAAGAATCAGATTTTGATCCCAGGCCATTTGACTCCAGAATTAAGGAGTGTTCGCTCCCTAATGCTGACCGCCGACCCCAGGGAGCTCTGGTGGAGTAGTTTGTAGGGAAGTTGCACTGCTAACTCAAAGGCAGCCCCGCCCCAGTGATTTGAATCCACCAAGGGGGAGAATATTTACAACTTCCGGTAAACCCGCAGAAGGGTCAGCTATGGGTTGGTTCTGATTTGATGGCATTGAGTTTGGAGTTGTTTTTTTTAATGCTGTCCCAGCTAGGATGCACTTAAGAGGTGATAGGAGCAGCCAGACCTGGGATCTTGAGGACTGACCTACCTACCAATCCCACCATCATCCCATCTCCTCCTCATCTGAGCTTGAGCATAGCAACATCAATGTTGAGTTTCCTCCTCAACTGAGTCGACTTGGCTGAGCTTACAATGGAGATCAGGTTGGTAGAAGGTACATAGGTCCTGCCTGAAGCAAGGAGATCATGAGACCTTCAAGGGCTGGCCTAGACAGGGGATGGAAGGGTGAGGTCAGAAGTGCAGAGGCTAGCTCAGAAGGGGACAGATGAAAACAAGGTGCACTTCCTTCCTCTCACTGGCCTGCTGGCCGAGTCAAGCCCTCAGCCTCCCCTCTCTCCTCTCTGAACCCTGCTTTCCTCGCTCCTACCCAATCTTTGTCCATGAAGTCACAGAGCACACACAGAGCTGGCATGTGGCATTTCCAGCAGTGAACACACCTGAGGCGTTGCACACTCCTCTTGCATCTGACCTCATTGACCCCAACTGCATCCCCTAGCCTCAGTCACAGCTGACAATAGGGCATTGAATGGCACACATGCTGAGGATGAGCCACCACGTGGCACCTCTGTCCGTCCCCCTTCCTGCAAGGCCTTCTCTAGTCTCAGTTTGCGCTCTTTCTCCCCTTCGGATGGCTCAGCCTGAGTGTGTCTCAGTGGGAACGGTCAGGCTTCCAAGGCCCTTGTGTGACCTCAGACCACACCCTGTCTTCTTTGTGCATCAATTTGCCTTTTCCCTCTTGTGTGGGAAGGAATGAGAGGACGCCTAGGAAGAGCCAGGATGTTGTAGGGGTGTGGAGGGGCTTCACCTAAGGAAGTCACATTCTGTCTATCAGACCTAAGTGAGCAGCTTGGGGTCCAGGAAGGGGAAGGGGCTGGTGACTGTGAGGAGGTGAACACCGCCAGGTATCTTAGAGCCAGGTGGGCGGGTCCCAGGGTGCAGGAAGGGAGAGGCCCAAGGGTGGGAGTGCTGCGCATCCCCCCCCAACACTGTATTAGACCCACCTCGAAAATGAGGCCCAGAAAGAGACACAGTACTCAGATGCACAGGGAGAGATAGGAAGAACGGGAGAAGGAGGCCCGGGCGCCGGGACCAGACAAAGGACGCGCGACGGCGCGGGGAGCGAGTCGCGCGGCGGGGGCGAGGGCGGAGCCGGGGCGGGGTCAGGAGTGGCCAGCCCCGCCTCTGGGATCCGCCCGGCCTGCAGAGTGGAAATCCGAGGGTTCGGGCGAGGCTGGCCCCTGGGGCCCTAGGAGGCGTGGCCTCCATGGGCGTGGAGGGGCGTGGCAAGACAGGGCGTGGCCGGCCAGGCCGGGGCCGCGAGCTCGGGAGCTGACCAGCTCCGGGGCTGCTGAAGGTGCGGGGCGCGGGGCGAGTGGCGCGGGCCGGCGGGCGTACTCAAGGTCACCCCGCGGCCCAGAGCCCTGGCAGGGCGGGCATCTCGGTCCCAGTCAAGGGGACTGCTTCAGGCCTCAATTCCATCTCCCGGGAGGCAGGGGCCCAGGAGCCCGACGAGCCCTCCCCTCCACCCCCCGCTACCCCGCCCGCGAGCCTTCCCCTCCCCTCCCCCTTCCCGCAGCCCCAGGCGCCCGCGCGAGGCTACCGCCCGGGAAGAAACACCGAGAAACAAAGGGACGCGGCGGCGGCAGCGGCGGGCCCGCGGGGCCTCCAGGCGCGCCCCCACCCCTCCCCGCTTGCCGCAAGGTCGTCGGGCTCGAGGACGAGACGCCCGGCTCCTGGGCGCGGCCGAGTCTCGGGGCGCGCTATCCTACGCCACCCTCCTCCCGGGGGCCCTCGGGGGACCCCCTGTCCGCCTTGGCCTGTCCCAGCATTAGTGATCGGGGGTGGGGGGGCCCTGCGTGGTCCGGGCCTGGATGGAGACGGCATCCTCCGCCTCTGCGGCCCCTCCCCCATCAGGCTAGCTTTGGGGAGGTGGGCAGTTTCGCCTCCAGGGCCGCGTAGGAATCCCTCTGAATCGCAACCCGGCTCCTCAAGGGCTTGAAAGTATCCTCAGCACCTTGGGCGCGGCCCTGCCCACTCTCGGGCCCCGCGGCTCGGTCCTACCGCCCCCCCCCACCCGGGCCTAGCTAGGCCTGGTCCTACCCCCCCACCTCCATCTCCATGGAACCTGGGCCCGATCGCTGCCGGCCCAGGCTCTCCCTGGGCGACAGGAGAATACCTACAGTGACCATTCTTGTGTGCCCAGCGGGCGCGGTCCGTGTAGAGGGCGGCTCCGAGGGTCGTGCACTCCGGCGGGGGGGCGCCTGATGCTCACGCCGGGGCCCGCCCGGGCGGCCTCTGGCGCGGTGGCTGCAGAGGCAGTGGTGGAGGTGGCGGCTCCCTCGAGGGCCGGGACGGGCCCGAGCCCCGGGCCACGGGCGTCTACGATCTGGCCTCGGGGTGGCCGGCGGGCAGCAGGAGATGGAAAGAGGGCGCGGGGTTAAGGATGCCCCTTGAGCGGCCCCGAGGGGCCCGGGGAGTTTGCTATTCTTGACAGAAATCCCAGCGCTCTGTCCAGTCACTATCGGCCCCCCCCCGCCCCGGCCCGGCCTGTCCAGTCCTTGGGTGCTCAGTTCTCTGCCCTCGCCCGCCCTCCCTCCCTCCCGCTGCCCGTGCTGCGCGCTCCGCGCTCTGGACCGCGCCGCCGCCGCCCCCAGCCCTTTATAGCAGCAGCTGCCAGCGCCGCCGTTGCTTATTGGCTGAAACGCTCGAGCCCCGCCCCCTCGCGGCACCCGACGGCGCGGCAGGTGGAAAGAGAGCGCGCCCACCTCCAAAAGGGCATCCTAGGCCTCCGATTGTCACATATCTGTCCCACCCGCCTCAGCAGATCCTACCTCGGAGCCCCTTCTTGGGTGGGCTCTCTACTGTGTTAACCTGGCAGGTGTCCCTCTTCTGTCCAGCACCTGCTGTCCCTGAGATTTTGTCCACAAGGCTGGAAGAGTACATGAAACCAAGACTTAAATAGGAGGCTCCACATTTAAAGACATCAGGTTTAGCGCTTCAAACCACTGGAGTGCATGGCTCATGATTGAGGTCTTAGTCTGATCCTGGAACCCTGTGGATTTTTAAGAGTAAGCTAGATGTCTCTTGGGTTCAAAAGGTGGAAATTGGCATCCCACAGTGCAGAGGAACTCTGAAGGGGAAAAGTGGCTTGGGAAGCAGGCTTCTCCAAATTCTCCTTGGCACCCTGAAACCTCGAAAGGCCGTGGAGCCTCTCGGATTCCATACAACTCAGGTGGGCTGATCTGTCATACAAATATTCTGCTTTCTCTGTTCATGTTTGTTCTCCCTTAACTGTGAAGTCATCTCTCTTTGTGATATGGGATCTGGTCTCTCTAAGGTGATGGAGGTTAATGCAAGCTTATTTAGTGCGAGGACAGATGGACTTATATATTTGGAGGCTGGTGCTGGGCACGGGATGCGTTCACACCCAGGCAGGCGGGGAGCGACTTCAAGTTTGGTTTCAGCACCATAGACAGCAGTCCGACGGGCGCAGTCGAGGGCCCTACCGGTGGACAGGTTAGCCAGAAACCCCCTAACCCTCGAGTCGTAGCCTCTACTTTATCTTCGTCCCGGCATGTCCCCACACATTTCGGACTCTGTCCCAGGATGCTATTAAACCCAGCGAGGAGAAAGTCGTTTGGCCAATCATGGACGGCCCTCGGCAGGACCAATGGCAGGAAGATGCCTTGGAGATTGAACCAATCAGAGCGAGCGCAGCAGAGGGCGCTGCCAGGAGAGGGCAGGCCAATCATGGTGGCCCCTCGCTCGACATGCTGACCCTCGGTTGGCTCGGCCTAGGTTCACTAGCGCAGGTCAGTCTGTACGGACAACCGACTGCTGTTCCTTACTCCTCCTGATCGGACGCTGCGTCAGGAGGGGGGCTACTCCTGGGCACGCAGCCTGGGCTGCGGTTCCTATGGCAACTGCCGGCTCCTGTTGTGGGCTGTGCAAGGGGGTGGGGAAGCAAAGAGGACAGAGCCTGGAGGGTGGTGGGTGACCCCAGCCACCCCTCCTTTGTGATTCTTCCCTCCCCGTCCAAAGCGGAAAACAGGGCCCGACCCCCGGGGCTGGTGAGGCGCCTGGAGGGCCAGTCTCCGTGAGGCGCCACAGGGCTCCCCGGGGCACGTGCCCAGGCTCGCGGCTGCCGTCCCCAGGGTCACATGGCTGTGGTCACTCAGGGCCACGCGGCTCGAGCGCCATCTGGCGTCTGTAAGAAGCTTGGGGGTAGTGTAGCTCCTGGTGGCCAAGGGGAGGTGGTGGCCTCAGCATCCTACAGGAAACTGGGCCAGAGGGGTCCATCCTGGCTGTCAAGCCATGCCCCTTTCAGCTCCAGAACAAGCTGAGCCAGTTCTCCTACGGGGCCTTGGTCCTCCTGCCTCAGGGATGGGTCTTCTTGGTCATTCCGGTCTCTGTGCAAATGCTACCTCCCCAGAGGGGTTCTCCCTAAAACTCTTTTCTGCATGGCACTTGTCACTAGCTGTAACTGCCGTATTTAGGAATTCAGTGAGCGTCTTCCCAAGTTGTTCCTGAGCTTTTTGGAGGGAGTTTACTGAGAGTGCCCTGAGAGATTAGGACTGTTGGTAAATCCCGTCCAGTTGGCTTTTCAGAGGCTGTAAATCGTGTGGGAGGCTGTCTGGTGGACTCGAACTGCCTGCCTTTGGGTTAGCAGCACAATTCCTTATCCACTAGGCCACCAGAACTCCCTGAAAGGTTAGGACTAGGCCTTGGGATCTTGGCCTGAGCTGGCGGGAGGTGATGTATGGGGTACTGGTGACTACGAACTGTAGAGACGTGCCTGTCCAGCTGTGAAGCACCCCTCACAGTCAAGAGGCAGCAGGCGGGCTTCTGCATCTGCTCAGGAAGGGACCAGGCTGGAGACTGAAGGGCCCACCCCCCTCCCAAATTATCCAAGTCTAGGAGTGGTGCATCTTCCTTCTCGCTCTTTAATCTCATTTGCTCCCCTGACACAGTTTCAGCTGTGCAGCCCCAGGCGCCAGCTCAGAAGGGGCATGGGAAGGGATAGGGGACCTGCCCAGGGGGCCCAGCCCCTGGGTCTGGCAGGGTGCCTCCTTCCCGCCCGCGGTCTCGGAGCCCCCCAAGGCCCCAGGTGAGGTATCCAAGCGGATAAATAAATAGGAACGGTCAGTGGTCGAGTGGGTCAGGCGGGTTTGTGGTCCGGGTGGCTTTTGAGCGTGTGGAACTTGACGCTGTCTAGCTTCTCGAAGCGCTTCCCACAGCGCTCGCACGTGAAGTTGTACTGCACCTCCGCCGTGTGCTTCTTCATGTGCCAGTTCAGGGATGCGCGCTGCCGGCACTGGTAGCCGCAGATCTCACACCTGCCAGCAGCGGGCAGTGTCAGAGAGGGTACTTGGAGCGTGGGGGGCCTGGGGATGAACCCAATTACCCGACTAGATGGTACCCCAAAGAGTTGGCACCACCTGGGGTAGGTACACAGGTGGGACTGGATGGAGGCTTGAGGGGCTGAGCCAGCCCTGGGTACCACCCCTTGGAGGGTCCTGGCCAGCAGCCCTCCCTCCCAGGCCTCACTCACTGCAGGGGTGTCTCTCCCGTGTGCGTGCGGCGGTGCACTTCTAGGTGGTTCTTCCTCTTAAAGGACTTCCCACAGGTCTCACAGGTGAATTCCCGGACACCTGGGGGTGATGGAGATGAGGGGCTGAGGGGGGGCTCTTTGGCGTCTTTGATGTGGTGCAGTCACGGGGAAGCAGGCTGGGATAAGCTGATGGGGCTGACGGCCAGCACGTGGTCAGCAGGCTGGCAGAACCCAGCCTGGCTGGCACTCTGGTTCTGGAGGGGCATGGGAGCTCCCCAGCTGGTGGTCCTGGGGCCCTTGTTTTCTGTGCTCGCCCTGGGCCTGACCTGAGTGGATGATCATGTGTCGCCGCAGGTGGTTGGACAGGTAGAACTTCTTGCCGCAGCCAGGGTGAGGGCACACTTTGGTCTTCCCTTTTCGATGTACCAGGTTGACGTGATTCTGTGGGTGAGAAGGGTGAGGACAGAGCTGTGGGTATGATGGGGTCCCTGTGGAGAGAGGTGAGGGCAGAAGGGTGGCAGGCTGAGGCCAAACTACCCAGGAAGAGGAACAAGGGGTCTTCTGTCCTGGGAGAGACTGCAGATCTGAGGGGCCCGACAACAGTCACTGAGCATGTACTCTGTGCTGGGCATCATCAATCTCTGACCCCTGGGAAACAGAGGCTCCAGAGGTTCTGAGGTTTGATGCTTCTACCACAGACGGGCAGTGGCAGGCTGGTGCTGTCACCCCCAGAGGGCTCTGACGATGCTCTATGTTGACCCCGGGGGCCTGGAGTACTGGAGTAGGCAGTCCTGAGTTGCGGCCTCCTTTTTTCCTGGATTCTTTAATGCACCAGAATGACTGGAGCTTGGCACTGCAGAGGTGCCTGGCACATACTAAAATAAATGCTCTTGGTGGCCTAGTGGCAGGAAGCTGCACTGCAATCCCAAAGGCATGTGGTTTGAATCTACCAGAAGCTCCACTGGAGGAGGGGCAATCTCCTCCTGTGCCAATCAGATCTGACTCGACGATGCAGAACAAGAAAAAAAAAGTGTTCACGTTTAATGAAAACATGCGTTGGCCAATTCATAGGCTTCTCTTTGTTGCAGGTGTGGGATGTCAAGACCCCATCTCTGTCCTCAGGTGCCCCATCCTGACCAATCCCTGGGTGCTCTACCAGTTCCACTCTGGAGCTCCAGCGACCTGGGACTTAAAGGCCAGCAGTGCCTGGGGGAGTGTGTGGCTTATCACAGACACAAACTATACATGCTGTGATGACCAGCCCCAGGAGCCTCCAATGTACTGTCCCCTCAACCAGTTCCATGGGCTACAACCCAGAGTCCTGAGTCAGCGCACAGGCTGCGGCACAGAAGCAGGGCCTCTGCCCCATGCTGCAGGTGGGGGCCTCACCTGGAAGCTGCTGAGGGCCACGTAGACCTGGCTGCAGCCCTCATAGGGGCAGTGGAACATCTCGAGCAGGCCGTCAGCGTCCATCACCCGTGAACGCTTGCTCCGTCGCCTCCTGAAAGGGGAAGGAGTCCTTGGAGTCATGGTGCCCATAGGAGACAGCGGAGAGCCTACCGGCTACCCCCCTGGCACGGTCCACCCACCCCAGGCACCCACTTCTCCGGCTCCTTGGGAATCTCGTAGATGATGGTGGACATGTCACTGCCATCCAGCTCGTCCCCATCCGCCTCTGCCTCAGGCTCTGTGCTCTCGGGCACTGTCGCCACCAGCTCTGCTAGCTCTGGGGCGTCCGGCTCCTCCTTCTCCTCCTTCTTGAGCACATACAGGTCCTCCTTCTCTAAGGGGTGGACACAGGCTGGGTGTCTGTGGGGCTGAAGGCTGTCCAGGAGCCCACTCCCAGAGTCCTGCCCCACCTCCCCCTTCCTGGAGCAGCACGGCTGCCAGACCTCTCTTGGTTTCGATGCCCGCCATGGTGGCGGTGTCCATGGTACCAGGCTGGCTGCCTTCTGGCTCTGTCTGGGTATAGGCTGCCACCCCCTCCATCATGGCACAGGGCACCTCTTCACCCAGGCCGCCGCCAGGGGCACTACTGCCTGCCGCCACGTTGAGGTGGATGCCCTCGGCCGTGAGGGCATCATAGCCTGGGCCTGCGATGATGATCACCTGTGACCCGGGTACCATGCCTGGCATGGGGCAGCTGGCCACCACCTCGCCCAACGCTTCCTGGGGCACGTTCTCAAAGAGGGCACCGGGACCTGCCCCCACTTGGACCGGCACTGGCACACACACCACCGTCTCCAGGGCGTCGGGCCCGCTGCTGGCTGGGTTGGGACACAAGGGGGTGCCCTGCTCGGCCAGGCTCTCCACATGGTGGACGTCGAAGGGGATGTGCATGCCCTCCTGAGTGAGGAGCCCGAGGCTGCCCGCCGGGCTGGTGGGGGTCACAGTTGTTGAGGCCTTGCTTTGCTGGCCTTCAGGAGGCTCCTCGGAGTCTGAGCCAGAGCCGGAGGAGTCGGAGCTGCCAGCCCCCAGGCCATTGCCTGCGGTGAGACAGAGAAGAGGGGAAAGTCACAGCAGCAGGAGCAATGGCTGGTGTCTGTTGAGAGCACATCAGGTACTAGGCACTCTGATCCCCTCACTGCCAACAACAAAAATGGTCCCTTCTCAGTGCCCACATACTCTAGTCACTCCACAGGCCTGCTCCCAGGAGCTGCTCTCCCAGCCTGTTCGCCTGAACCCTCTGGCGTCGTGCCCATCCTTGCAGCAACTCCGTCTCTTTCAAGCCTGGCTGCTCCTCAGTATTGGGGTGTCATATGCCACCTCTGCTCTGGGGTGCCTCCATGCTGAGCCCCGGCCTCTCACATCCCACTGTCTCCTGCACTGTGTTTCCCCATGGGGCCTCAGACTCAGCACAACCACTGACCCCTGAAGTTGCTCGAAACAGCCAGTATCCTCACAGCTGGCACCAGGCCAGCTGATGGCAGCTCTGTCCTGCCAAACGCTCAGATCCAAATGCTGGGGTTACCTGTGATGTCCCTCTTTTTTGTCACACCTGTCAGCGAAGGCCATTAATGCTGCATTCAAAGTCTATTAATATACCCTGTGCACACGGGCAACATGCCATCATCCTGTGCCAGGCCAGCGTGGTCGCTCCTCCCTGACCCCGTGCCCCTGCTCTCCCAGTCCAGTCTCCTGACTGTGGTCAGACAGAGCCAATGAACACCTGCTCAGCTCTCTCTCTCTCTCTCTCTCTCTCTCTCTCTCCAAATGAGATGCTCTTAGCACTTCCTGTTAAAGAGAAAGACCAGCTGACACCAAGCCAAGTTTCTTTTCCTTAGTATCATGGTAGACTACATCTCCCAGCATTTCTTGCGAATAGATATGGCTGTATGGCTGAGTCTTGACCAATGAAATGTGAGTGGAAGAGATCCTGCGTGGGTGTAGGTGATGGTCTGCCTCTGTCACTAACAGACAAGACAGGGGATGGCCCACAAGGGTGAGACCACTGGGAGGAAGCCAGCCTGCAGGCCAGGAGTGGCCACCATTGTGGTGGGGAACCACGTCCTGGGTGATGATGTTAGACTGGCGCTAACACCGCCTCATCAGCGCCCTGCCTAGCTCATTTGGCGAAGCAGCCAGAGTCCTCTGCACCAGTCCCCTGCACCGTCTGCTCATCACCCCCAGCCAACTCTCTTCCCACTGGCCCTCCCCCTGCACTCCAATCTCACAGGCTTCCCTGCTGGTGCTGGGAGACCAGAGGGGACCCTCTGCTGGGAGCTATCTTCCCTCTACGCTCTCATGGGGATCTTTCCTTCACACCTTCTGCAAAATAGTACTTTTTCAATGAGGTTGCTCACGTAGTACCCCTCCCCTCATTTTCTCTCCAGTACTTACCACCTTGCAGTATACCCTACATTTTACTTGTTTATTATTTTGTTTACTGTCTGCTTCCTTTCTAGAACTTAAACCCACAGGAGCAGCGATCCTTGTGCAGGGTCCTCTGGTGCCTAGAAGACTGCACGGCACAGTGAGTACTCATTGCAAGTCTGAATAAAAGATCAAATCCTCAGACCAGTGATGACATGCAGGTCAGAAGGAGCGAGTCTGCACCCAGGCACCTGCTGCTACATCCCCGCATGAAGAGACATGGGATCGGAAAAGTGGGCATGCTGAGTCACACCCATGACACAGCTAGGACCATACTTTCTGGAGACGACGTGTCCTCCACCATGAGGATCACGGTGCAGCACAGGCCCAGAACCAGACTGCAGGGCTCACATCTGGATGCCCACCTCCAGCTGTGTAACGAGGGCCGCTCTATTAACCTCTCCGTGGGCCTGGACAGTGGTAGCACCGACTCGGGCAGGGCATTCCGGGTGACTAGGAATTTGTATATACAAGGTTTTAGGATAGCACCGGTCCCAGGAAACACCCCGTACTGTTACCCATTATTGTTACTGTCCCTCGACAGTGAGTTCTTACCATTATCTCACATATCATTATTCTTTGTGAGGTAAGGATAAGATCTCACTGTCCTGGCGTCCTCAGGGTTGACTGAGGCCCTCAGCTGCACCTTAAAGGAAAGGCAGGTCATGCCTCCTGAGGTGACCTAGACAGGTGGGGACAGAGCTGGGCTTGTGAACTTCTCTCCAGATGATGCTGATAATCACAGCAGAAATGACTGTGCTCGGTATGCCGGGGGTGCTCCTGGCCCCACGCCCAGAGCTGGTAAATAGTGCCACATGAGGAGCCAGGGCTGGGCTGCGAGGGACCAGGGCAGGGATGGCTACTCACAGCTACCCCCCGGCGCCACTCACAGTGCCCACCGAGACCCGGCTAAGTGATCACAATGCTGATCTGTGAGTGCTCAGATCTGGCAGCCACTGTCGTCCAAAGTGGATCAGGTTCCCAGGGAGCCCCTCTGGGTGTAAGCCTAGCTCAGCCTGTGCCGTCACCAAGTGGACCAGACATGCTTCCTGGGTCTGTGTCTCCTTGCATGACTTCTGGGCTGGGGGAGGACTCAGGGTGGTCAGGGGCAGGGCCCAGAGTAAGGCCAGGGAAGAGGGCAGTGATGGGCAGGAAGACTGGCTGGTCTCAGGGCACAAGACAGTACAGCTGAGGGGCTGGCGACATGCTGGGAACTTGGCTGACGCACGATGGGATGGCCGTTGGCGAGGGTGGCCACCCGGAACACCTCTCGCCCACGGCTTCCCCTCCACCAGCTGGGATGCCACCTGCTCCGAGATGCCTGCCAGCACAGGCTCAGCCCCAGTGACTGACCCACCCTCAGCCCTGGCAGGACGCCTGGCAGCAGACCCCACACCCCTCCTCACAGCTGATGCCAAGCCCCTGAGGCAGGCCGGCCGGCCCACACCCCCACAGCGCCTCCTCTGCTTTCCAGCAGGGCCGACTGAGCCTGCTGAACTGAGTCACTCCTGGCCCCAAGCAGGCGGCAGTCATCCCCGTGGGTGACCAGCGTGGGATGTGGGGAGAGACAGTGAGAGATGGGAGGGGGAGCGATGGGAGGAAAGGCGAGAGGAGAGAGGGAAAAGGAAGGCCAAAGAAGGGAGACTGAGAGGAGAAAACCGAGGAAGAGTGGGGGCGAGAGAGCTGAGGAGGGCCTTGGGGTGTTGTGGGAAGAACTGGGCTGGGAGGAACATTTGGAAAGACAAAAGGGACAGAGGAGATGAGAGAGGAAGAGGAAGCAGAGAACAGTGCCTGTGGTGGGACCCCCACCAGCTCCGCACCGCGAGTCAGCCACCCAAGAGGGCCCCCAGCGCAGCCCTGCCTGTGACTGGCCTTGGGCAGGTGGCCCACCTGTCCCATGCTTCGTCTGCACTGTAACACGGGTGCACCCTGCTCCAGAAGGACTCAAACACCGAAAGCCCATGAAGCACTTGGCCTGGGCACGTCGCCCTCTATCCCCGGAGCCCAGGACCACAGCCGCTGCAGCCAGCAGCTCTTAGGCTGTCAAGGCCTTCGGGTGGGAGGTGGAGGGAGCCGTGCTGGGCTGTGCTTGGGAGGGGTGAGGATGCTGAAGGTGGCCACATCACACCCTCACCCTGCAGCCCACCTTTGTCGCTGTCGGGGTCGGAGTCGCTGAGTGGCTTTAGGGGTGAGTGCAGGTCTTGGAAATAGCGATGGCCGGCTTCGCACTGCCACACAGCCGTGGTGTACAGGCCGAAGGTGGGGTCCAGCTCGGTGAGGTGTGGCTCATATGGGCAGCGGTGTTTGTGGTCCTCGTACCAGATCACCACGTTCTTCAGGCAGTTGACGTTGCGCCGCCGCCCTGCGGACACGGGCCAGGCATGTGGTGAGGGCCGGTGCAGCAGGGCCCAGGTCCACCCAGGCCTCGTGGGCCCTGAGGACCTGAATCACTTCCTATGCCTGTCTAGGCCTGCCCCCACTGTACAGACAAGGAGAGTGGAGCTCAGAGCAGTTAGGGACACTCTGGGACTCCACTGCAGGCTCACAGTGTAAGCTATTTGTTACTGCTCTAATCACCAGCGCCTCCTTCCTGGACTGGGGACACTCCCTTCTCCCCAGTTCCCGTCTCTGCAGTCAGCGCACATCACTCTTCTCTGCAGAGCCATCTGGAGTTTAAGGACTAAGGTGTGCCTGATCAAAGTCATGGTCTTTTCAATTGCTTCATATGCATCTGAAGGTTGGGCAGTGAATCAGACAGACAGAGGAACTGATGCCTTCGAACTGTGGTGCTGGCAGAGTACTGAACACCCCATGGACTGCCAAAAGAGCAAACAGGGAAGCACAACCAGGGTGCCACTTAGAGGGAAGGACGGTGAAAGTCCGTCTCATCTGCTTTGGACATCTTGTCAGGAGGGGACATCCCCGGAAGACATCCTGCACAGCAGAGGGGAAGGTCTGATCTGCTGTTCACAGAGTCCCTCTGAGTCAGCTGACTTGGTGGCACCTAACAACAGTTCCCACCTCAGAGGAGAGCTCAGGTCCTAACTGTAACCTACAGGCCCTGCTCTCAGCTGCCATCCCAGAGGGCCTGAAAGGTGGAGCTGCAGCCCGGGCCCAGGACCTCCAACCCAGCATCCTGAGGGCGTGGTCAACACCTAGACTGGCCTGTGGGCACTGCTCACTGCCCAGATGGTCTCAGAGAAGAGGATTCCGTTCAAGGCTCGGGAGCTAATGCACTTGGTTCTGCTGAGCTCTGCACTCATGCAGTGCCTGCGACCCCTTCTCGCTCTCCAGTTTCACTTGTAGTAGAAATGTTCACTAAGTTCCAGTCCCACCTGAGGTTTAGGAATGACTACTACTGCTCGCTGCCTTTGCATTCAGATGAACTCACAGCTGACCCTTCACTGGGCTCCTGAGGCTCCCCATCCCACAGCAGGAGACTGTCCGTCTTTGTCCCTGGGAGCCAGAGGTGTGACCTTCAGGACAACCCCCTAAGGGTCAGGCCACAGATAACATATATGCTAAGTTTCTCAGGTTCAGATGAATAGGAATTCTATCCCAGTAGGAAACACAGCTAATGTCTCTCCCATATTTGATTAAGATGATTTAGCAGATGAGATTTTAGCTGTGGAACTGACTACATATTTGAGATGATGTGATGGGGTGGATGTGTCCTGTATATCACAAGGACATGAACTTTAGGGGGCAAAAGGGAAATACAATGGATTTACTTGTGTTCCCCTAAAATATGTGCTGTCAACTCCAACTTCTATGCCTGTAGTTATAACTCATTTAGGAAAAGACTGTTAAATTACTGAGACAGGATTAGTGTGTGTGTAGATACATTTTAAAGCAATCTTCTTGAGGTGTAAGACTGAACAAGCCAGTAAAGCAGCAGAGACAGGGAAAAGATGCCAATGCATGTGTGGATTGCCCAGGAGCTCAGAGAGACATGCAGAGAGAAGGCCTCCCTTGAACAGACACCTTGGAACCGAACTTTTAGCCTCCTAAACTGTGAGAAAAGAAATGTGTTTGCTCAAGGCACTTACTTGTGGGATTTCTGTTACAGGACCACAGGAGAACTCAGCCTCTCATCCACCCCCCAGCCACACTGGTCTCCTCGCTGCTTCTCCACAAGTGCGGTCCCACAACGGGGCCTGTGCGAGGCTGTGCCCTCGTTCCTCATGCACTGCCCATGTGCGCTCCTCGGGGAGGTTCCTGACCTCACTCTGCATCACCCTGCTGTGCTTTTCCTCTAGTAGCACCTAGATGTCACCTGATGGTGATTTTCTTTTTCCTCAACTAAACACCAGCTCCCAAGGGCAGGGACATTTGTCTGCCTTGCTCCTGCTGTATGTCGAGGGCCAGTGCAGGGCTGGGAGACAGGCGGCACTCTGAACACCTGCGGGATGAGTTCATGCTATGAGGGAGCGGGCATGGTGGAGTGAGATGCTTCTGCCACTTCCCAGCGGTAACTCCAAGTTAAGTGACTGGGCTTCTCTGAACTCAGCTGCTGTCTCTGAGTCAGAGGAGACAAAGGATGCTAGGGATGGGGGGCCATTGATAGGGCATGGACAGGGTCAGGCATGTGTTGGGTACTCCAGCAGTGGTTCCAGAGACTTGTGTGGCTGAGGGGAAGAAGTGCGTACCCTCATCAGAAGGGGCGAAGGAGGGCCCAGTGGCCTCTGCCATCACCAGCAGCCGCCTGTTCAGCCCAGCACTTGACCTCTGTATCTTATTCCCAATGGTGTTACCTTCTGTGATAACTCATGGTGTCATACCTCCCATGGGCTAGGCTGGTGGGTGAATTCCCCCACTGTGGGCAGAGCTGCCTGGCCCCACTTTGCTGTGCAGCCTTGCCACTTCCACAACCCCTTCAGTTCTCTCTCCCACCGAACAAGGAGACCCTCCTTCCCACCCAGATGGCAGGTGCTGGAGCCTGCTCACCCACTAGCACTCTGACTGTAAGCTAATAAGTAGAGAGAACAAATTACCTCTCCAGGTAGTGGGGTGACATCAACCCTACTGATACCACTGCTCTGGTGCCCCCCAACACCAGCATCACTTGTCTACCATCACAACCACCATAGAATCAGTGTCACTTCACACCCAATGACTCCCCCTAGTGACATCACTGCCACCCCTACCACGTGTGATCTGAGGGTCACAGATAGCTCAAGCCCCCCTGAAGAACTGTGAGAAGAGGGGTGTGTTGCCACCAGATGTCCCCCCTTGGACTATCCCCCATTCAGCCCCAGGGTGCCAAGGCCAGGCTGGGCCAGCTGCCCAGAATAAGGGTTCAGGCCTCTCACTGATGGCCTGCACTCATGGCTTTCAGGTCTGGCACACACCATGCCCTGCAGACCTTTGCATAAGCTGCCCCCACCTGCATGGACCACAGGGGACACGCACAACTAGGGGGTGAGGTCTGGCTCTGCTGCTGTACAGCGTGGGGCCAGGGTTCTGCCTTGGGAGGCTCGGTTTCTCTGTGCTCAATGGGGATGACAAGGGCACTCTCAGGGCACACCGCGCGGCCCACACATGCACAGGGAATCATCCTGCTCCCCGCTGGGCCTACCCTGTCTTCTCACCAGACTGAGTGCTGTTCTACCTGGCGCAGGGCACATGTAAGCCCTTGGGACAACATGGGAAGAGCAGGTGAGCAAGCGAACGACGGAACAAGGCCCCCTAGGTCCCAGGGGCTGCAGATCTACTTACTTTTCTTCCTCTTTGGCTTTTTGGGGACTTGCTCCCAAGGCTTCCTGCAACAGAGAGAAGCAGTGAGGGGTGCGAGCAGGGGCAAAGGCTGGGCCAGCCTCCTGACAGGAGATAAACACTGAGAGGTGATGGCAACTCCGCCTGTGTTAGTCCTGCTCTGGGGGGATGCCTGGGCAGGGAGCGGTAATTAGCTCCTGGTTACCAGCATGTACCCCACTTAGTAGAGTGCCAGCACTGCCTCTGTGGACACAGCGGCCACGAAGGGGGCTGAGCATCACCACCCATCTCACTGGGCAAGAAGCTGAGGAAACCGAGAAGGGGAAAGCCATAGAGGTAATGGCAGAGAGTGGAGAAGTCAGAGAGGAGGTACAGAAAGTTAGGATGGTGAGCAGACACCTCCAGCAGGCCCTCCAATCCCCATCCCTAGGGTGCACTCCTGGGTAATCCTCTCCCACTGCTCACTGAATATGATAGTCCCTAGTTCCTGGGATTTGTGACTCCGAATCAATCAAAAGAGACGGGAATGAACTGGCCTCATCAGGGGAGTCCCTAACAAGACGTGACTTCCCTAATACAGGTTCTTTGTGGTTTGTGAGCAATCACATCAGATTTTAGACCCAGTAAAGGAGTGAGGAAGAGGTGTGTGAGCATGGAGGACATGTCTGACCTCACGGGAACTGGTTTTCCCATGTTGCTGTTGTTGACAGGGACAGTTCCCCTTTGTGAAGTCAGTCAAGGTCGGATATGGTCATCTTCACGCTGCCTTTGCTCTGTTTACACCCTTGATAAAGTCAGACACTCAAAGTTGAGAAGATGAGTGGCATCCAGAGGGGGCCATGTGGCGAGGATCTCAATTCCCCCATCAGAAGGAAATGAAATGAGCCCACAACCTGAGAGAGTGTGGTACCCACCTCCATAGGTGAACCTGTGGATGGAGATGCACCAGCTGACACCTCTGCTTTAGCCTGGTGAGACACCCAGCAGAAGACCAGCTATATGTGCCAGCCTCCTGTCCTTGAGTGTGAGCGCGTCAGCTCGTGTGGTCTGAAGCTGCTGTTTGTGGTCATATGTTATGCAACAACAGCAACTGAATACGGCGGCCTCAGAAGCGGTGTACCAGGCGGGGGCTGTGTAACTAAGCATGCCCATCCCGGAGGGCTGCCTCTGCTAAGGGGCTCAGTGCTGCCTCCAAAGCTAGACCTCCCACTTCTGGGCCCTTCTGCTTTGTCTGTGGCTCTGCACCGTGATCTCACGCCCCAGCGTGCACACGGCTGGGCCGGCAGGCTAGGAGCCTGAGGCCCCCACACGGCATGGCCTCTGCAGAACCCCTGCTTGGCCCACGAGGGGCTTCCTCACTCCCTTCTCGCCACAGGCTTCTGAGATGACCTCAGCCAGCTACCTCCTTCTCCTTGCCCTTCCCCTTCTGTGATACAACCACAAGCTTCATAATCTTGGGAAAGTGATCTCACCTTCTGGTGCTTCAGTTTCCCCCATCTGTAGCACGTTCCCCATGGGGTAGGCTGGAGGTCGGTGCATTGTACGGAGCCTTGGTACAGCCCTAAGCACTCAGTAATGCGCAGCACATGGCAGAGATGGCCCCTGGCTTTTCCTAACCCCAGAGCCAGCCCCCTTCTACCCTCTCACATGGCCAGGGTGGGAGCTGGAGCTGCGCTCTGTCCACAAATCTCCAAGAGCCGCTCCAGTATCCCCCATCACCTCCCCTAGATAAACTCTCTGCCCCCACCCAGCCTGAAAACAGATCTGTTCCTGACCCCACGTGTGGCCTCTGAGAACCCCTTTGGAGATTCTCTTCCCTGATGCTCAGTCTTGGGGGGACTTCTGCCCCTTACAATGGTCTCCCACCTCCAAGGGTCCACACTGTCTAAGTCCAAGTGCTCACAGGTATTTCCACCTGCTCGTGGTCCTGTCAGACAAGGGTTAGGAACGCCATGCCATAAAACCAACTGGCTGCGTGACCTCAGACAGGTGTCATCCACTCTGAGCCTCAGTTTCTTCATGTGTGAAGTGAAACTCATTAAACAGTACTACACACAGAGTTGCCTGCTGGGGAGATTAAACAAGGTCAAAGAAGCACAGGTGGCAAACACACATTCTTACCCTAAAGTAGCCATTTTCTCATCTGACTGTCCACTTCTCCGAGTTCTGACAACCCACTGGCACAGCAGAGCCCACGCCTGTCTGAGGACCAGGTAGCTGGGGTTTCCTTCAGTGGCAATACCTCCTGTTCTCTTCTGCTGTACATTTGCCCTCTTTACTCAATGTTCCCACCAGCCCCCAAACATGTCGTGCTGACATACACATCCTAACCCAACCACCTATTTTTTTCCTTCCTACCTCCAACCTTTACCTAATCCTTCCTGCCTCCCTGCCTTGGCCCCTCACTGCCCGGCCAGTCTCCATAGGTTGTCTCCACTTCCTCCCAGTCTCTCCTGATCTTCTCAGTCAGGGTCCTTCTCAACCATGTCACAGCCTGCCTTGCCACGCTCACAGGGTCCAGCCCATGCTCGTCTGGGCTCAGCACATGGAAGGAATGTGCAGGACCCTTCCTGTGGCTTCAGGGATGCTGCCTTCCCTGGTACCTTCCTCACCTCCCAGACCCCCTGAGGGAGGTGGTCGGACCCAGCTCAGACCTAGTGTTCTTAGTGATAGTGGTTCCTGCACAACTTCTACTTCTCCTGGTGACCCCCACATTCAGACCCCACCTGGCCCTTTCTGCACTCTGGCACCACAGTCCAACCACCTCCTCTAAAGTACATCAAGCTGTCATCTTGTCCCCTAACCTTAGCTAACAGCAGCCACCACTTTCTGTACATTTAATAGCAGCAGCGTCTGGGGAGTATGTGACAGGAGGGCTCACACACATTCAGGTGGCGGCCCAAGCCCCTAGAAAGTGATTAAGTGCTGTCAAGTTAAGTACGAATCAAAGTGACACTATGAACAACAGAGCTGAGCTCTGTCCTATCCTATGCCTATCATCCTTGGCACATGGAGTCCACTGCCGCAGACACTGTATCCAATCTATCTCACTGGTGGTCTTCCTCTTCTTCACTGACCCTCCACCTTTCCAAGCATGATGTCCCTTTCCAAGGAATTGTTGTTATGTGCTGTCAAGTCGCTTGCGACTCATAGGGACCCTATGTAGAACAGCCCTAAACTCTGCTCTGTCCTGTGCCAATTGCACTGTCTCTGACATACCCATCCTGATTACCCCAATCACTGAATCGGTCCACCTATTAGAGGGCCTTCCTCTCCTGCGCTGTCCCTCCACCCTCCCAAGCATGATGTTTCTCTCCAAGGACCGGGACCGGTCCCTCCTTACAACATGTCCAAAATATGTCAGACAAAGCCTCAGAATCCTTGCCTCCAAGGAGCAGCCTGCTTTAACCCTCTCCAGGATGAATCTGTTTGTTTTCTTAGCAGTTCATGGTACCCTCAATATTCTTCTCCAGCACCACAGTTCAAAGGCATCAATTCTTCTATCCTCCTTGGTCATTGTCCAACTCTCTGACGCATAACATGTGATTGCAAAGACCATGGCCCGTAACAGATGCACTTTAGTCTCCAGAGAGACACCATTGCTCTTCAGTATTTTGGAGAGGTCCCTAACAGCAGACTTTCCCATCTCAATACATCTTTTAATTTCCTGGCTGCTGTTGCCAAGAGTGTTAACTGTGGAGCCAAGCAAACTGAAGTTGTGAACAATCTCAATCTCTTCCCCATCCATCCTGATGCTGCCAATTGGTCCAGTGCTGAGAATCTTTGTCTTCAAGGAATAGCTCCCCTTAATACCATGTTCAAAAGATGTGAGAAGATTCACCATTGCCTCCAAGGAACACTCTGGTTGCACTTCTGTTTAACTTCCATCCCACCCTGACCTGAGCCTTCCAGCCACACACTCCCCAGAGGCTGCTTCTTTTAAACAGAAGTTAGATCATGTCTCTCATGCAAAATCCTACACTTTAAAAAAACGACGAAAGGACTACCAGGGCTCCACCCCACTGGGAGGAAAAAGGAGCTCTCTCCATTGCCTGGGATACCCTTCATATTATACATGTCACTTCCCTGCCCTCCCCTCTTCTGCTCTCTCTCTTCACCTGCTCTCCATGCACACATCTCCTGACTGTCCTCCAAGGCCTGCCTCAGGACCTCTGCATTGCTGTTCTTCATCTTGCACGTTCTACCTTCTCTTTGCTTCCCTCTGGTCTTTACACAAGCACGCTACTTCAATTTCCTGCTCCTACTTCTGATTGCTATTTCCCTGTTCCACTTTCACAGTTTCCCATAGCCCCTACTATTCTATAATGCACTATGTAATCTTTTCTACATAATCTAATTTTGCCCCCCACCCCCACCCCTGGTCTGTCTCCTCATCCCCAGGGGAAAAAAGAAAGTCAGCTTCTTAAGGCTGGGATCTTTTTTTTGTTCCTAGTGCCCACCATGTGCAGACACTCAAAACATTTCTTAAGGGGAGCTCTGGTGGCCTAGTGGCAAGAAGCTGCACTGCAATCTCAGAGATATGCGGTTCAAATCCACAGGATGCTTTGCCGGAGAAGGAGGGGCCATTTCCTTCTGTACCAGTCAGATCCAATTTGACGGTACACGCACAGAGAAAATAATAAAATTAAAACAAACAAACAAATTTAAAAAACATTTCTTAAACAAATGAATGAAAAGGACATTACAAATTCCACAACTATCTGTCTCTTTTCCCACTGGCAGCCAGGAAGCTGTAAGGCAAGCTATGGCTCACTCTCCCCTCCTTCTTTCTTCATGTCTCTTGGAGTTCTCTGGCCAGGTTTTGGCACACTCACATCATGCCACAAAACTGCCCTGGTCACACTCTCAGTGGCCTCTGCCTCACTTGATCTGGTCGCGTTGACCCTAGCTCCACCGTGCCCCTTGTTGTCATTTCTTTAACACTGATTTTGTCCTTGCTTTACAGCGCTTGAATGGGAATCCTTCCAGGTTTAAGGCAGATTAAAGATAACACAGTTCTAGCTCTCATGGTGTCTCCTCCTCAAAGGAGAGCCCCACTCAGGTCAGTGTCATCTCTTGACTAGTTACCTGATCCCAGGGCGAGACTTCTGTACACACTGCCTGGTAATCCCGAGTCCTACAGGACCACACTGGCCAGGTTTAAAAACAAGCTCAAAACAAGCTTCTGCAAATATAGCCTTTGGCTTGGGAACTGCTAGTTCTCTGGCTGCTGGTTCTCAGCCTAAGTTATACACCCAGGTTTCTCTGAAGGCTTTTATGGAAAAAAAAAAATACAGAGTCTACTAACTCACCTCAAATATGTAACCAGAAACCCAACAATGGGGCATTGGTTTGAGATTCTAACCACTTTTAAAGTTATACCGGTGGACACTCAGCTGCTACTACTGAAAATCTAGATGTAAGATTGTACAGAAGAAATCTTGACCAAAATGTGGGAGGAAGAAAGGAACAGAATTTTACATTTTCACAGACCCTATGTTTTCTGGAGCCACGGAGGCTGGAGGAATCCTTAAATCTAATCCCCTGAGACAGTCTTCAGTCTTAAGCCAAAAATACTGAACTAATGAAAATCTCTACCATGGGCATTATTCCCTTTAAGAACTATGTATATGATGGCATCAAAGTGACAACAGCAACTCAGAACATTAGATGGAAACTTCAGGGGACGGTGTTTGTTGTTACGTCCCATTGAGTAAAAACTGACTCAAAGCTGGCCCTTCCAATGCATCTTTAGAGGCTGTAAATGATATGGGAAGAGATTGCCCTGAAGCAGCAGGTGGATTCCAACTGTCTGCCTTTGAGTTAGCAGTGATATTTTTTACCCACAAGGCCACCAGGAAGCAGGTAGTTTATGTTCATGGGGGACGAACAGTTCAGATAAGGAGGCAAAAGCGAATAACTCAGCTGTCACTGTGACACAGTGTCACTGAACTGGACGCACTAGAACTACTGAAGTGGTCTGTATTTTGCTGCGTATATTCTCAACAAAAACAAAGTCCACCTCAACTTTCAAAGGGCTTATTTCTTGCTGCTGTATATAAACTGAACTGCCACTACGTGTATCATAGGGGAGAGCAGGTTGGCAGGATCTAGATGGTTCTTGACTCTCAGAATCTTCCCTTCAAGGAGAAATAACCAAAAGCTCATGCACGTGAAAACGCGGGGCAGAGCAGGGATTTTATTGTTATTCTGCTTGTGATACAGAATAAGATCTACTCGATGCCATTCTAAGGCTTTTGCCTATTTTAATGAATGCTCACTCAATTTCTGAGGCAGAAAAGTACAAACTCCACCCACATCACTCATTCTCAATACTGAGACGTGGCAACCAGGGCTTCCCCTTCACCTGGGGCTTCCCTAAGGCTAAGGCGATTCCCTGGTATCAGAGGTTTAGAGTTTAGTCTGAATTGTGAAGGGTCTCTGGGTGTGTGGAGACTAGTGTTGTGCAAAGGAGGTTAGGCAAAGCTCCAGGAAAGGGACGGGGGTCGGGTGACCCTGTGTGTCAAGGCACAGGCCCAGGGAATGGGCCCGGGTGACCCAGCGTGTCCAGGGACAGGAATCCTGAGGTCTCAGGGGGCGGGGCCACCTGTCCAGGGACTGGGCGTCCAGAACGCCTGGAGGCGGGGCCTCGCCACGATTGGGCAAATCAGAGACGGGGAGGGCGGGGCCGGGGTCCAGGAGGCGGGCCGAGGAGCGGAGCGCTTCTCTAGGATTGGGCAGTTGGAGCGACGGGGCCGGGGCCTCGAGCACGGGGCGCCCGGGGACCGGTAGCCCGAGACCC